GAGCTAACCAATCTACTGTCTTTATTTTGTAATTAAAAATTCTGTCAATTACCTTGTTGAAGATATGTTCTGCACAATGTTAAGTTACTCTAATGTATAACATCAATTGCTATTTTACAAAAGGGAGAAAAAACTATTAATTTATTTTTGAAGTGTATGAAATTTGGATTATAATTTCTGCTATAATTTTCATTTAAAAACTAAAGCCTAAAGCAGAATTATATCCTATAGTGAAAATGTCAGTCTTCATAGCCAAATATATAGTTATATATATAGATTAAGTAAATCCCAACAGATTTCTGTCGTTATTGAAATGTATGCAGAGAAAGTATCAGAAATTCATTTTTTTTTCCTGAGAGGTAATATTATAAATTAAAAAAGAACATTGGACTCTGCATTCCATGAGTTGGACTCTAGTCCACATCACATTTCTGACAACCTCATGAACTCAATCAAATTACTTTTTCATATTAGGTCTCAATCTCCTCTTATAAAGTGTGGAGGCTGGTTTGGTTGATACATTTAATTCTAAAATGTTACTACTTCAGTGACTTTAGATACAGACATAAAGCAGTTGATTATTATATATTTTATTTTGAGTTTGTATGTGTTTAAAGTTTAAATATCTCCCACATGTTAATGTATGAATATCACAGTTAAAGTCTAATGGCATCACAGTTGGTTTATATTAATCAATCTATATGTGTTTGTGTGTGCATTTGATATATACCATGTGGGTACTTTTTCACATATGAAATACAAAATTACTCAAAGATAGAAAGATAATAATAAAGAATGGTTTTGCTATATTAAACTAGCTGCATGATTTACTTAATATTTATAAATTGACTTTGTGGTCTTATGTCTAAGTTGTTAATCAACTTTGGATAAGTCTGAGGTAAGTTTCAAATGGCCATATTTGGACTTCCATAAGATGTCTGTATTTACTGTAGATCGAATCAGTGGAGTCATGACCCTTTCCTTGTTTCCTAGACATCCAGAGAACCAGGTAATGTTGATTTAGTGGACACCTCACTACTAAAGACATAGCCTAACTTTCAACATTTCTTAGCCTCTTGTCTGTGACTTCAGGCGCTAAATATAAGGGATTCTACCCTACAAATTCATTGTGCCTCTCGAAAGTACACTTGGTTACAAACAGGAGAATCATATTGTAGAAATTATGCTTATAGAGCTAAAATTGGAAGCTGTGGTTGACATTGCTAGGCAGATTTCCACTATAATATATATGCTATATTATACACATATACAAATAAATTGATACTTCATTTTCTCAATGCTAGAACTCTAATAGATGATGGCAAGTCATCCATTTGCTTCCAAAATGGAAGTAATTTAAAAATAATTTCTGCCATATTTTTTGATAAGTATACAATGAATATATTGAGCACAATTTGATCAATTAAAGAGAACATTATTCAGATTACATTCAGAAGTTCCTTAGGTAAGGGAAGCTGTCAATAGAGTTAATATGATTTTTTCTTGAGTATTTCAGGATCAGCTACAAATGGATTTTTAAATTAATGTTTATTCAAGCTGTATCCTCTGTACTCCTGACAAAAATTAAGTACCTTCCTTTTCATTAACTAAATACAATAATTTTTTTTACTTTGCTGTGCTTATCTGAATAACACCGTGGCAAAGATAAGGTCAACGGGACTTGGAAATAATAAGTAAAGTGCTAACTAGACTTTTACATTGTCTATTATCTTTCGGAATTACATTAAATTTTTAAAGAGAATTGAAAAATACTTAATACATAGCACAACCCTGGAGATTTAAAAATAAATAGAAAAATTAAATACTTCTGCCTGTATTTTACAAATCAAAAGCATAGCTGTATTTTCAGGTCACAAAACTTTTAACTACTGCCAAGACCAGGTTTACCAAGCAAAGCAAGAATAAAACAGGAAGGTGGACACTTAATCTCAATCTCAATAATGCTGCCAATGAACCCCATTTTGCTCAACTACATACATTATTTAGTTGAGAGCAAATGCTTTTGTTTGAACTGCAAAGGTCTGAACTATGAAAACCTGGGCTGCATCACCAGTTTTTCGAATGTGTGCATTTCAGCAATAATTCCAGAAACTCTAAACACAAATATCCCAGATTACTCCAAAATATAACTGTAAAACCCTAATTTGAGTGTCTCTAGAGTCTGTGAAAACAAACCCTTAAAAAGCGGGGTTGGGGAGGGCACAGGCATAATTTACAAACTTTAATTTCTACAGAGCTATTATGATAATGTAACCATTAATAGGATTAGGAACAACACTTCAAAATGTCTAATTCTCAGGAAAATAAGAACTCTCTAACAGACATCACCACCATTATATCACAAGTAAGAAGTATGATAAGGCAATTCAGGAAAATTATAAATAAAATGAGAGCTTTATGTCAGATGAAATTCCAGATTTTAAATTAATTCCTACTGTAAGGAATTAAAATATGTCAACCCTCAAAGTTTTAGATAAATTCAGTACCAAACAGGGGAATCTTATCACAAAACCCTGCACTTTTAAAAATTTTATTATCAATCAGATTTCATCAAAGAAAATAATTTTGGCAGTTGCATAAAAATTAAAGGCAATATCGTTTTTAAATAAAAATAGAAAATCATCTACTTCTGGTACAAAAACCAGAACAAAAAAAGAACCTCTTTATTATGTCAGATGTCTAAACAGAATGTAACTTTGTAAGTGGATCCCTTGTCCCCTGATAGCAATATTAAGGAGATGAAGCATATCAATTACTATTACTGATTACAATCAGGGGCATGTGTTTCATTCACCTTCATTTCATTTTAGATCAGTTGTTTATCATGGCTAAAACTTTATACATCTTTTGAATACAACAACCTAATGATATAGAAGTTTTCCGGTCACTTTTGGGAAACTATGATTTGTTACAATGGCTTTGTAGACTTTTTGTTTTGGTATATGGACTTCTTTGCTCAGTTAAGAAACTAACACCATACACCATACATTAGTTTATTTATAAGCATATCACTTTGCCTTCTAAACAGGATGCTGCAACAGTCTTGATATTAGCTGTTTTAAATATTCAAGAATATAAAGTTAACCCCATTTAATAAGCCAAATAAAGCTTAAGTGACAGCACAGAACGTAAGAGGTGGTTGCATAAAATATCTATAAATCTGCCACTTGATATGTCCACTCAAAAGTTTAAGATTACACAATGTAGAATGCATATACCATTCAGCCAAAGGACAACAAGTCTATTAGGATGACAGCAGAGTAATAAACATGCTGCAGAAAGATCTCTTCACATACTTGTGTAGTACACATTAGCATTTTCTAGGGAAGTTTCTACAGATTGAAATTTATTTGTGGGCGCTCATAAGTAATCTTATAAAAGTACTATTATTTTCACTGGAATCATCCTTGTTTACAAACTGATAAAAGCACCAAAAACAAAACAAAATTCTGCTTCCAATTTCAGGTAAAGCAATAATGCAACAGACATAAAACTTTTCATCAAATTATAATTAAAAAGAAATAACTCAAGCTCACATGCATCAAAAAATGTATTTTTGAAGGCCATTTAACTCAATGTAGTTCAAACTTGTTTTTTCTTGGATTGCTCTGATTATTGGATATAAAAGGGTATTATCTGTTCTTCCTTATCCAAACAGCTACAGTGAAGTACTATATATGGAAAATACTTCTTTAGGAAACTCATTTTTTTAAATTATGAAAGCAAAAAGGAAATACTATTTCTTTTCTATTTTTAATGTATGTATCTTTAATGAGCCCATCAATAACATCTTTAATAAGATTATAAAGTATTTTTTTCCCTTAGCCTTATTTCCAGGTTGCACATTTCACATGCAAAGTATGTTTAATAGAAAAACTATTATTCAATATTAGTTGGCAGTCATAAGTGTGTTCCTTAAGATTTGTTTTGGTTGTAAGAAATATATGATGTTTTGTTAATGGGGTTGCTACAGCATTAGACACAACTAACAATAACCTCCAAGTAGCTTATTTGCTGTGTGTCACACTTTAGTGGATCTTCTTTAAAAACTGTAAACTTTGTGAGTATTACATTTACAAGCAAAGCTTTCCAAAATAAAGTTCATATTTTCTGAAGATCACTTCAAAATATACTTTTTTAAACCATCTCCACATTTTACTGAGAAACAACTGTGTCAAATATTCCATGTATTCCAACATTATAGACTCGGTATATCACAATAATACCAAATATTCTTGCACACTATGCATCAAACAGGAGCATTTTTGTTGCTTGGTTTACATAATATATGGTTCATGCAATTTACTTTTGCTTACAAATTTTTAATACCACATGAGAAGAAGCAAACACTGATTGCATATCCTCACAGAAATCTAATTGTTACAGGTATCAAAGCATTACAAATAGAGTTTTGCATGACATTTGCATACTTAAATTTTTTTAAACCAGCATTTTTGTCAAAGTAGTCAGTATTTCAGTATCTCAGACTTGGTACTATGTTTGCATAAATCGGCATCTGTAAAATCCTGCATTATGTATAACATAGCTAAAACTTTTATAGTGTCCACTTTGCATAGACACCAGTAGTAACTTTAGAAATTTTCTCTCTGGATGCAATTATCTACTTAGTAACCACAAAAGAAAATATCTTCAGATCAAAACTAACCATTAAGCAATATATACATATGTATTCTAGAAACAGAAAATGTAGAATGAATTAGGACTGTCAACGACAAAAAGAAGGGCAAAATACTGCCCACTTTGAATATATTCTTTGGTAGCTTAGTAAACATTGGCCTTACTTGCAAAATACAGTGGTGCACCTTGTGTAGATTGCCTCTACTAAATTAATGGTGTATGAATTAATATTGAATTCTTAATCACAGCTTTCAAAGAAAGACAAAACTTTACAGTAGGTGCTCTGTCTCAGAGTTATCAGCCCTCTCTGGGACGTTAAATATATTTGGGATGCATCTTACCTGTTTGCTGTACTTGTTATTGGTTTGACAGCTGTACTCAGAGCAATGATCTGATCCAATTGAAATGTTGTCTCCTGCTCCCACAAATGTGTTGGCTGGTGGTAGATCTTGTACGGCCTGGTGTTTTTTTCCTGCAGTTGGTGACTGGGGGTGAAGCTGGACAGTAGGCAATGGAGAACTAGATTTGTAATGCCTGGCCAGGTCAGGACTGCCAGGCCCACCGTTAACAGATCGGTATCGCCCCATGCTCGGGCTATCTGACAGCTTCTCATTGACACTGTCATACCTCTGTCCATTTGGTTTAGAAGCTTCTACAGTGACAATGCTGCTGTAGAGAGGCTGCTTAGATTTTTTGTTTTTCTTGTCCTTTTTAGGCTTTTTAGATTTGTCATGCTGTTGGGGTGTAAAAAAGTCTTCGTGATCTTTTTTGCCGGCTTCATAGCCATTTTTATTTTTGGACCGGCAGTACCTTGCCATCACTACAATTAAGATGATTAGAATCACTGTCATAATTCCAGCAACCACCCCAATGACAATACTGAGTCTCTGTTTGCTAATTTCATAGCTTGGGTCACCAGCTATGTCCTGGGTGAGTGGCGTGTGCAAACTCCTGGCTATCTGGGAGTCAATCACAGTCGCGTTAGAAACACTTTCATTGACAAACACATGCACCAGAGTGGTGGTGGACTGGGAAGGCTGCCCACTGTCATTCACTTGCACCACCAACCTGTGCAAGCCATAGTGCTTTTGGGTCAGTTTTCCCACTAAGGAAACCACACCACTGGTGGAATCAATTTCAAACAGTTTGAAGGGATTCCCTCCCACAATGCTGAAGTTAAGGTCTGCATTGATGCCATCATCACTGTCTGTTGCCAAGACTGTAGCTACTACTGTCCTGACATTACTTGAAGGTGGCAGCAAAGTGTAGGAAATGTTTCTGGGAAGGGTAACCATGGGAGCATTGTCATTCTCATCCATCACAAAGAGAGAGACTGTGGCTGTGGCTGATCTGGGAGGATCTCCCCCATCCACAGCCTTAACTCTGAATGTGTATGTGGTCTGATGTTCCCGGTCAAAAGACATTGTGGAATAAATGGTCCCCGTGTCATTTTCAATGGAAAAAATGTTACTGTTTTCCTCTATGTACAGGCTCATTTCCGCATTGCGCCCCTTGTCAGCATCCATCACCGTGACCATCCCCACGGGGCTGTTGGGCTGCAAGTTTTCTTTCACATAAAAGGTAAAGATGTCCTGCATAAACTTAGGGTCATTGTCATTCTTGTCAGCCACCTGCACAATCACCGTGGTGCTGCCCTGCAGCACCGGGGTGCCTTTGTCTTTGGCGTTAACTTTAAACTCATACCTGTCAGTCTGCTCGCGGTCCAGCACCGTATTGACGAGGATGTCCCCTGAATCAGGATCGATGGCAAAAATCCCCATCACGGAGGAGTCCAGCGAGTAGGCGATCTCTGCGTTTTTCCCGCTGTCCGCGTCTGTCGCCAGCACCGTGGCCACCCTCTCTCCAGGGATGTTGTTCTCGGGAAAGTAAACCTCCACCACCGATTGGCCAAAGACGGGCGGGTTGTCATTGGTGTCTCCCACCTTCACAACCAAGGAGTTGTTGCTGGAGAGGCTGGGGCTACCAGAGTCTACCGCCACTATGACCACGTTGAATTCCCGGGTGGTCTCATAGTCCAACGGGGCCGAGGTGTGCAGAAAGTACTTTTTCTTGTTCTGGTCGCCCTCCGTGTCGCTGGCCGGCTTGAGCTGGAAGGGCACGTCGCCCACCACGGTGCAGGTGACCACCCCATTCTCGCCTTGGTCTCGGTCGGACACCTGCACCAGGGCGATGGGGGTGTCGACCAGTACGTCCTCGGCCACGTTGGCCACTCCGTCCTTGAGGGGGATGCGCCCGATTTTACGGATTTCAATGGACGGTACGTTGTCGTTCTCGTCCTTGATGTTGAGGACCACTGTGGCCTTGTCAGTTTTAGGGGGCTGCCCGCGGTCGCGGGCCATGACGGTGAAGCGCAGCTGGTTCACCTCCTCGCGGTCGATACGGTGCAGAACACTGAGCCAGCCGGACGTCTCGTCGAGGCGCAGCAGCCGCCGCACGGACTCCGTAGCCGCCCCAAACACGTACTCGATCTGCCCGTTAACCCCAACGTCCAGGTCAGCGGCACGCAGCTGCAAGATGGGGGTCCCCGGGGCGCTGTTCTCGGCCAGGTCAGCCTCGTACACGCTCTTCTCGAAGCGGGGACTGTTGTCGTTCACGTCGGTGATGAGCACCCGCAGGATGGCCTGAGAAGAGCGAGGTGGGTCGCCCCCGTCGCGCACACGCAGGGTCAGCTCGTAGGAGTCGCGCTGCTCGCGGTCCAGCGCCCCCTTCACGATCAGCTGCGGCTGCTTCTCGCCATCCGGGGTGTCGGCCACCTGCAGCTCGAACACGCTGCTGCGGGCACCCGGGTTGGTCCCGCCGCCTCCCTCCGGTGCGTCTAGCCGCCGCTTGGAGCCGCCGGGGCCGCCGCCGCTCGCGCCGTTCCCGCCGCCCCCGGGGTAGGGGGCGCTGTCGGCAGTCCCGGCGCGCCGTCCGTCGCCGCCGCCGCCGCCCCCGGGCTCCTGGAGCAGCTCGTAGCGCTCGATGCCGTTGCGGCCGAAGTCACGGTCGGTGGCGGTGGGCAGCAGGTACAGAGTGCCCACCGGGCGGTTCTCCTCCACCGTGAGCGTGAGCACGGGCGACGGGAAGGTGGGCGTGTTGTCGTTGATGTCGAGCACGATGACCCGACCCTCGAACAGATCCACCCAGCTCTGCGACGGCCCGATCACCGACACCTCGAAGTCCAGGAAGCACTCGTTCTCGTCGAAGATCATTTGACACTGGGGCAGCTTCTCGCGGTCGATGCGCCGCTCGCTCGTACTCAGCTCGCCGGTGAGGTTGTCGATCTTCAGGTACTCTGAGCCCGACTCGAGGCTGAAAGTCACCTCACCCGAGCCGGTCACGATGCCTAGGTCCGAAGCCACGTTGCCGATGCGGACGTCTGCGGGGCCCTCCTCGGCCAGTCGGTACCGGAGGAGTTGCTTGGCGGCCGCCAGGCTGAGCGAGAGCGGCAAGAGGAGACAGCAGCCCAGACACCAGCCGCGCGCCCACCCCGCGGTCCGCATCCTCAGCATCTTCTCGTGCTGCTGCTGTTACTGTGCCTTCTAGTCACAGCCCCTTCGCTCCCGCCTCCGGGGCCGGCCGCCTGCCCTTCTCCCAGGCTTCTCCGCTCACCGGGAAGGAAGGAGAGAGAGGATGAAGAGGGAGGCGGAAAGCAGCGTGCAGAGTGGCCAGAGGGGAACAACGATAGATCCTTTTTTTTTTTTTCCTCCAGCTTCTTCCGAAAGTTATTGTTTCATAATTCATGCACCGGGTGCTAATCGCCCGCTCGCCCGCCGCCGTTCAGTCGCAGTACTCACAGTTCACGGGACACTGCGCGCCGCGGGCCCGGCGCCCCCCACCTCCCCCAGAGTCATTCCCGCAGCGGGCGGAGGTTCCCGGGCTTGGGTCTCCGCTCTGTCGGATGGGGTCGGTACCGCTCCGGCAGGCGGGAGGTGGAGCAGGGAAACGGTGGGGAGCGTGCCGGCAGCTTCAGCCGCTTGGCAACCCTGTTCTTGGCTGCTTCTCGAGTTGAGTCCAATTCACGTTCCAGCCACTCACTCCAGACCCAGATTCTGCTCCGGCTGCCCAAGAAAACGGGAGTCGCTTCCTGCACGAGGTGCCGGGGCCAGCAACAATCCAGTCTCAACTCCGACTCTCCTCTGGCAGCGAGGAAACCAGTCAACAAATAGAGAATGAAAAATCCCCGGCAGGTCGCTTCAGGCACCCTGCAGTTTAGACCACTCGCGTCACACAGCAGTCCGCGTCCGGGTCTTCCCAGCGCGCCGAAGAGCAGCTCGAGCCATCTTCAGAGAGTCAGTCCTTTCTCACCCCCAAGAGCTCGGGTTTCTCTTTTTTCTTAACAACTCTGCGCAAGGTCATTAGTCACGAAGCCGCCTCCTGAAACCGCAGCAGCCGTTCGCCCGCGGAGGCGAAGGCTGGGCTGTGCGCCCCGCGCGGTGCCCAAGTTTGGGTTCGCAGCCGCAGAGTCCGTGCCTTTCCTCACCTGCATTCGGCCCGCATGTCGGAGCACTGGGATCTGCAGCGCTGTGCGCGATTCGGGGAGGAGATTGCAGCCTCTCTCCCCGCTCCCTCTCGATCCCACCCCTCGCTCCCTCCCTCTCTCCTCCCTCTTCCTCCTCCTCTCTCCTCCCTCCTCTCCTTCCCCCTTTCCCCTTCTCCCACTCTCCAACACGCTCCCTCTCCTTCCTCCCAGTCCCAATACAGGCAACTCGAGCTGAACTTGATCCCTTTGCAGTTCAAAGGTGAGCAAACTCGACTCGGTGCGCAGGCGATGTCGGCCTGGCGAAAAACCTTCGGCCGCCCCCCCACCCCCACCCTAGCGGCAATTAACAAAGATGCCCAATTCTGTCCGGATTTCCGAAGAAAAGCCAAAGCATTAGGGAGGGGAGTAGAGGGGGAGGAGGAGTTAGAGACAGCTGCCAAGTAGCTTAAAAAAAATTTTTTTTCCAGTTTGCCAAGGGGAGAAAAAGTGCCAGTTGGTTGTTGCCTCGGAAGTGCCCTGACACGGCGGGTGAATTCCGCAGTTGTCTCGTCCCCTTTCGCGTCTGGGAGAGTCTGGGTGCGGGCGCTCCCGCCGCCCCTCGGGCTGCCGCGGCTCAAAGACACTGAATGGCAAGTGGGAAGCTCCCGCTCGCTAGCCGGGAGCCGGAAACCCGCAAGTTTGCCCAAAGTGGCGGTTGCTGCTGGAAGCCCGCTGGCTCGCTCTCGGCTCAAGCTTGGCTCTGACGCTGCTGATGCAGCGGCGGCGGCCGACGCCGAGCCGCCGAAACTACACACTAGCAGAGAGGGAGGGAGGAGTGCCGTGGGGAGGGAGACAGGAGGGAGCAGTAGCCAGCCGCCCCGCTCCGGAAAGCTCAGTTTCAGCTCTGGGGGCCACTTCAATCGTGCATAATCCCAGCCAGTCTTCTTCAGCCAAACCCTGCCCTCCTCCCCAGCGAGTGCAGCCTCTGTCTTCTTGAGGGGGCGGGGGGAATTGCTTTCCCTCCCTGGGGCTGGTAAATTTCCTCCTCGCTTTGACTAATGCACAGTGCATGTGTGAGTGCTCCGGTGCGGGTGTCAGGAAACGTTTCCCCTTCTCTCCTTCTCAGACGCTGCTCCCCCCGCCCTCCCCGTGTCTCCAGTTCAAGATTTATTATCTTAGGACACTGCTAACGGTGGCTTGGGGGACCCCGCGTGCACCCAGGGAGCCACGCTGGTGTTCTGAGAAACCATTGTGGGTTGCAGTGGTTAAGAGAACATCAAACTCCAGAGAGAGCGGGAGAGGGTTCCTTTTTTTTGGCAGCGCAGACGTCGGAGGGCTGGGGGCGGGGGTGGGGGTGCCTGTCTTTGTTTAAATGCTTGGCATTCCTGTCATCGCGCTTGCTTATGGGGGTAGACCGTGAGTGCGCGCGCGCCTGGGGAATAAACACATGTTGGAAGCCTAGATATTATTTCTGAGGATAAACCTGCAGCCTTTAGTAACTGGCAAAGTGTAGCGTCACCTATCTGAATAAAAGGGAAATAAACTTTAATGGCAACTTTGTGTACCGAAGTGTCCCTAACTCCTTTTCTCTCCTTTTGACTTTGTGTCTCTTGATCGTACATGGTATTCCCCCCACGCAAGGCTTCCCCAGTTTTCAATCTCGGCCACCGAAGCCCGGCTTATCAGGTCTCAGTTCTGCTTGTGTTTTCTGAATTGAAGGCATTTACTCTTTATTTCAGCTGCTGTTAAACAAGGGGTTGAGTTGGTTGAGGCGAACGGGAGATATTTGGGGAGAATTCTTACCATCTCAAAAGCCCGTTTGGGCTGCTACTGGGATCTGGTTGGTCCTCAGCTCATCTGCCCAACCTTCAGGCGTATGAAGAGCCCCCCCCACCACCACCACCAAAGGAAAATTTAAAGCGAAAAGAAAATAGGCGTCCAGAGTGGGTACTTCTCCTTTACGAGACCTGTGTGAGCAGGCAGAATGATTTAAACAAGGCAAACACCAATAAAGTCTCCGAGCAGATGCCGCGCGCGGTTGTTTGGGCGGGCACAGCCAGCAGGAATTGGAGGAGAGGGGGAAGAGACTTCCAAGCCCTCGCTATTGGGAATCGTGGAGGCGCAGAGGTGGCAAGTGTGTGAGGTATGTGCCAGGGAGCTGGAGAGAGTATTTTCCAGGAGGTTAAAGCAGTAGCACTTAGGGGCCAGAAGCTCCTCCTCCTGGGCCAAGCCGTGAAACCGGCCTCCCCCTCCACCCCGCCCCCACTCCGCCGCCTCGGTCGCCGCCGCCGCCGTCGCCGCCCGAACCTCTCAGCTCTGTATCTGCAGCATCAGCGAGAAAAGCCCCGCGCGCAGACTCAGTGCGCACCGCCGCAGTCTGGAGCGGGGGGCCGGGGTGGCGGCGAGCGCTGCAGCGCTTTCGCTGCCTGCTAAGTGACAGTAACGACAAATACCCCTTATACTTGGCCAACTCAAGTTTATCAGAACGCCGGCCTTCCGCAATACCCGACCCGGTTCTCCCTTTTCCTAGAGCGTCCAAGGCGAAAGAGGGCAGCCGTTTACACTCCGCGGCCCTGCGCCTGTGCATTCCGATGCGCGGCAATATGGTGCAGTGCACTCAGTCCCCTCGTCGCCTGTGCTAAGATTTTGCAAACTTCAAGCAGCCGCGTGGGTAGAGACATTGTGCAGTCCCTGTTCCCTCGCTAGACCATAAACTAGCACAAGCCCCTGAGCATCTTCAAACATTCTCCCACCGCTCCAGCGCGCAAACTCCAGGCACACACACACACTAGGCAAAGGGCGAAGGACTGGGAGGCTTTTCCCTAGCGCGCTGCAAATTTCTTTCCAGATGACCAGGCAAAGGGGGTGGGGGGATGTAGCGCGTCCTTCACAGTGGAGTGGTTTCCTCAGTGCGAGCAGGAGGTAGTCTGCCGCCCTCCCTACTCTCATCCCTACCAACTCCACCCCGGAGCCAAGCCAGCGTGGGAAATGGGTCCGACGTGTGCGGCATGGAGAACAGCGCTGTCAAGACTGCCGGGGCCGGGAAGCCTCCGGACTTTCTCCCCCACTCCCACCCCCAGCAGTCCTGGGCTCAGACCTTTCCGCGGGGGCAGCCGTGGAGCCGCTCTTTGGAAAGGGAACGGAACGGGCGGGGAAGGGTGTGCAAGAGGTGAGAGGAGCCCTCGGGGCGCCTTTGCAGCGTCTGGCGCTCCCAATCCTCTTCCGCCCCCTGTCTGGGGACTGACTCTCCAACTCCAGCCTCCCGCCCGCGTGGAGGATGAATGGAGGCGAGAAGCCGTTTGCCCCACCCCCGCCCTATTTCCGCAGTCATACAGCCAGTGTCACGAGTGCTCAGCAGTTTTAATAAATGGGACCGCGGGACTTAATCCCAGCCCCCACGCCTCTCCTCTCCCCACTCCCCGACCTCACCCTGGGAATACGACATCCGGCTTCGCTCCCACCCACAAACCCCGCCCGGCTTTTCAGACCCGAGACTGCAGTTATCTTCTCAACCTGAGAGGAAAGGGTTTAGAAGGAAATGGGATCGAAAGTGTAACCGGCTGCAATAAATTAAAGAGCCCGCTACTTGTGCTCTGGAGGCCAAAACTGGAGAAAACGAGACCAGTGTCCTGAAACCTACGTTGGTCAGAGTGTTAGCACGTCATCGTTTTTATGAAACAAAATGTTTGACAGAGTGCTGAAATGTTTTTTTTTCCTGTTTTTTTTAAGGACAATAAAAAGAAATGTCCATTTGTAACCAAGATGTGAAAAAACTGAATTGACTATCGTTCTAATAGACATCTAATAAATGCTAGACCGATTCTTTTTTTATGCCAAGCATCCTATCAACTTAGACTAGTCAGTATTTTTTGTTTTTTGTTTTTAAATAATTTACCTACTAACCTTGCTGGCTTAGAAGTGCTTTGCAGTTAAGAAATTTCAGTCACTGAGCTGAAAAATAGCATTCCCAGTCCGTGATATAGTTCAAGCCTCAAGTAAAGACGGGAGAAGTAACAACGAGAACAAAAGTTTATGGGTAATAATACGAAGAAGTAGGTGCCGGAGATAAGATCTCAGGGGGCCTTTCATTATTATAGACGCTGTATTCCCAATAATACAAGAAAAAGGTTAAATACAGTAAACATGATAGCCAGTTCTGGAAAGAAATATAAAGCACTTTGACGGGAAGGGAGAAAGTGACTCAAGAACTCCACCAAGGGACAAACAAGGGAAATGACACCCCTACAACTACAAATCTATTGACCTTTCGTCTTTTTAAAAAGACTGTATCCACTTACATATGTGTAGATATGTTTTTGAGCCCTATACAATTAATTATTTCTCCAACTACTTTTGATAAATTCCATAGTCTTCTTTCTCTAAATAATTAGAAGTAATTGTCCCTTAAACATACACCATTTCAAATAGTAAATATGACTGCATAGCTGTTGTCTTATAGCACATATGATTCTGGTTCTTGGGACTATGAGACACTTAAGGCACATTTCGCGGCCTTAAATCTATGCTTGTAATATTAAAAAATGTAATAGACTGAAACGGCTAAATAATTCATTGCAATAACAGACTTTTTGATGGACATTAAAACTCAGCAGTTTAAATAAGGAAACCACAGATTTTCTTTTAAGGAGGTAATAACTGCTTACATCAGTGGTTATTTAATTCGTCTCCAGCCAAGAAATAGAACCAGTTGTGTTATTTAAATCATGAAGTCATATTATGCAAAGCCATATACAGTATTGCAACATATCAATAAAACAAAAACACAAGCTAAGAACTAAACTAGTAGTAGATAGCATGTATACAATCTATTGGATAACTATAAGACATTTCCACAAGGCCAGTATACAAACTCTGTTAACAGAGAAAAAGAAACTCATGAAAATCATTTTGTTTTTCTAAATGCCAATTCATTAACTGTGTGACTTGCCAATTTAAATAGTGTTTTCAGTTTTACGGTGACACTTGTTAGAAATGATTTTCACTTTAAGCTTAGCACAGATTGAGAGTTGATTTTTTTCAATTTCTTAAGTTTTAAATGCCAAAACATATGCAATATAGCATAAATTTACAATTTATGCTATATATATGTATGTACTATATGTATAAAGATTTGGTCAGTTACTATAATTAACAGATTGTTTTTTAAAATGTAATTTATGGATTTTTTTCCATCTTTACACTAATTTTTATGTATTCACAAAAATCTAAGCTTGGGACAGAAACAGTATCTTGCCGAATCTGAATGAGTTTCTGGGAAAAAGACACTCAATAGGTGAAAGCAGTGTATCCTATTATTTGTGGCCATCTGAAGCTGTTCCCCGTCACTATATTGGTAAAAATTGAACATTCCAATATCCCCTTTGAAGCATGAACTTGAGACATTTGTCATTTCCTTACTATCATGGCAGGATATGTCACTCTGCTGTGAATAATGAAGGCCTCTAAGCTAGATAATATATTAAGGATTTGGGGGAAAATATCTCATTATAATGACATGCACGAATATAATACTCAAATAAATGATCTTGCGTGTACTAAGAATGGCTGAAAATTTTGAATTAGCTTTAAAAGTTTTAGCTTCTAGGTTGAACTATGCTAACTAATGACTTTTTATGTTAATTACCAGTATCAGCTAGTACAAAACTTGAATTAATCAAATTTAACTGATTGCATTTAGAAAATACAAAATGTGGAATATTTCCAGAGTAGGTAATATAGCAAGTTGGACTGACTTTTGGCAGCAATGAAATTTCTAATGATAAATGCTTCTTCTTGTATGATAATCACTGGTACCTTTCCCCAAGTATTTCTGACTTCTGGATCTAAGGTAGGAATGCATTTATTGGTCCCCTTGCGGCTAGATGAGTCCATTGATAAGTTCTGGGCAATCACCAATGGAAGCTAAGTTCACTTCCAAAGTCAACATGGATGGCTGAAATGAAATCATTGGTCAACACTGTCAGTCAAACTGATGATTAACCTGATCTAGGACCATTACCTGGAAGCTGTCAATAAACCTCAGGCTGACAATGACTTTGGAAAGTAGCAGAATGTTTTAAATGCCTGTTTTAGCACTTACTTGATGAATTATCCAAGAAAACGTAGATTAAAAGGCCTACCTAGTATACAATATGGGTTTCAACAGTACATCCCTATAAATCAGCAATTGAGCTACTTAGCCATAGGTTAAACTACATTTTCATTGGCAAGATAAATTCTTCATAAAGCTATGTAAATTTATATTGGTGACTTTTAACATTAACAAACATATTTTATCTAGTTTCTTTTTTTCCTATGGATTGATATGGAGTTACTCTGAATAGAACTTTCAATAAAGGATTGTTGACTCATAATGAGATGGAAAGATAACAATGATGTTATGTATTTATATTTGTCTATTTATTTCCTGTTTTGGCTGCATAACTGATTATCAATATTGTCTCCAAATGACTGGATACAAAACCCTCTATACTGCTGTGAACTGAAGCTTTTAACTTGGTGTTTTAACGCATTATTAAGCTAGCAGCCATGATTACT